ATAAATAAGTCTTTAAAAGAAAATATGTCCTCTTTCTCCAGGTTATATATTTGGGTTGTGATGGCCAGATGACAATTAACATATGAAGAAACAGAAAAAGATTTTTCCAAGTTATCATCCTGTTTTCCATGGCCACCAGCAGTGGGTATGGGAGAGTCATCCTCCACAAACTTGCCAGGTCTTTGTATGACAAGTCTTTATTTCTGAGTATTTTATGGGGTTGTCTAGAGTCCCCTCAGAGTCACCTGTTGATGGAGGAAGGTCATTGGCTAATAAAGGAACTGCCTTGGCCCATTTTATTGGTTAGAAGATAGGTGGGAGGAGTAAACAGAACAGAACGCTGGGAGGAAGAGGAAGTGAGCTCAGACTCCACAGCTCTCCTCTCGGGGGCAGAAGCCTCAGAGAGACGCCATGCCCCGCTCCTGGGCAGACACACGAGATGAAGCTCCGACCTAGAATCTTCCCGGTAAGACCGGTGCTCACAGATTATTAGAGATGGGTTGATCGGGATAACAGAATTAGCCAGTAAGGTCTAGGACTAAAGGGCCAAGCAGTGTTTAAATGAATACAGTTTCCGTGTAATTATTTTGGATAAAGCTAGCCGTGGGGGCGGCCGGGTGCCGGGGACGCAGCCCCGCCGCCCTTATTACTACAACCTGTCTCTCTTCCCTAAGTGTTAAGGATGTTGCTGCTGTATGTTTCTCTGAGTGGAGCATCTACTCACCCTTCTGGTCAAGTTTTATTTCCTGAATTGTCTATTTTCTTAGTGTCTCCTTTAGAAGCTTTCTGTATTCTGGATAAAAGAAGACTGTCATCTGATATACAATTTCCCACATTCATTTTCCCAGGTAAGAAAAATATGTTTCTATCATATATTTGGAAGAATAGATATTTTCTCACTTTATGGAATTCATAACACTCCAGTTCTTCATTTAATGAAAGGGGGTTTGCCATATCTAAGAAGTTTGTTTGTAATTCATGAACCTGAACATCCAATTGTATTCTGCTACAAGATTCATGTTTAGGTTGTAATTTGGACTTCTTTTAGGTTTATTTTCCCTATTTACTGAGGGTCTGCCTGTATGTCTGTGTGTGCCAAATACACGTTTGAGTGCAGATGCCCACTGAGACCAGAAGAGACTGTCAGTTCCCCTGGATCTGGAGTTACAGACATCTGTCACCCACCATATGGGTGCTGGAAACTGAAGTCAGGTCCTCTGCAATAGCAAAAGGCACTCTTAACTTTTGAGATGTCTCTCTAGTCCTGTGTAGATCATTTGTTCATTCTCGATTGACTTTTGTATCCTGCGATATACGATTGTCTATATTTATATTTGTGCATGGGGAGGTCTGCTTGTCCCAAAATAAGACAGAAAGACAGGGCATTGAAGGGGATATGAGAGGGAACACACAGCCCCTCACCCTGTAATCATTTTTACATTTTCCTGACATTCAAGAGACCTCAAGCCAACTGATAGAGCCAAAATTACCTGCAGATATGATGCAACTATTCCTAAAGACATCCCAAATAATGTTTAAAAATAACAACAAATAAACTAGAGTCTGAAGATAGGGTTCATTCTTTAATATCACTGGATGTCTTCCAGAGGATCCAGGGTTGATACCCAACACCTACCCGATGGTTCACAACTGTCTGTAACTCCAGTTCCGAGAGATCTCATAAAGTCTGGTACTGTCTGTGGGCATTAGGTACTCACGTGGTGCACAGACTTCCCTGTGGAAAAGCATTCAAAAGCAGAAAATAAAAAACGCAGTTATGCTTTCTTAGGGGCAGAATACTTGTAGCCTTGAGATGGATGATGATAGCACTCTATTCTATCGCCTAAGTCACATAATCACCTTACAATTTAATTTACTGAAAGAAACTTTAAAAGGAATAAGCACATTTAAAAGCATTGCTTTTTAGTTTCATTTTTTACTTTTTAATAACCTATTGAATATTTTTTTCCTAATGGAAAAATAGAACCCATTTAAAGAGTAAAAATATTCTTATAGTTAATTTAAAAACCTGAATATAGGCTTTAATGTAATTTAATCTTGAAATTTTCTGAATTACATTCTTTCAGCAATGTAACTTTAGAGCCATAAAAATCCTCCCATTTCTCCCTCTCCCACTGTACCTCCCTCCCTGCCCACCTCACATACCCTTTGCAATGACACCTAATCTCAAGTCTCTCTCCAGTCCACTCTCAGGCCATCATGCAGGAGCCATCCTTATTCTGTGTGAGCTTCTATCCACAGGATTAATAAGCTCACAACCTTTGCTTCATCCTGGCTGTTTCTGAAATTCTTTACTGCTTCCTAGATTCATCTTTACCAGGGTCAAGGTCATCAAAGCGACAGGGTTATCCTCAGGCTGCTGGTCACTGTGCTGGGCTGTACCTCCCTACCACCACCAAGAGTCCCAGAAATCCTCGGTGAAGAGCATATGCCTGCTTCACTGAAGTGTCTTTGAGTCTTTGCTAAAGGTGTCCCCTCACACATGTGTGACACTTCTGTCCCCTTCATATTCTTTTCTGTCTTATTGTCATTTCCAATCAGGCACGCTGTCTACATTTCTCTAGGTTTATAAGGAGTTTGGAAGTCAGGTGTTCATCCTCCAAGTTTGTTCCTTTATAAGGTTGTTTCAAGCTGGGGTTCTTCATATTCACTGTGAGTTTCAGGATAAGCCCATTAGTTTATGAAAAGTCTGTTAGAGTTCTGTTGGTATTGCACTGGATCTATAGGACTGTATGAGGAGAACAGACACCTGTATCTTCCATTGCATGAAGATGATTGTAGCGTGAGTTCTAATTGGTCTTAATAATAAAATCTGGAGTCAGATATTAAGTGGTTGGAGCTATAAGATCAGAACAGCAGAGCAGCCAGACACTAGATCTTTCCTCGACAAAATCCTCAGACCAAATGGAGCATCCTGTCTCTACAAGACCTCAGACTGACTGCCTGGATCTCCTATCTCCTCCCACCTTATATTCCTCTCTTTTCCCAGCCACATTCCTTTCATTCTCCATCTCCCTCGTGCTGGGATTAAAGGTGTGTGACACCAAAGCACTTTGATGAAAGATGTGAGTCACCACTGCCTGAATCTGTTTCTTTTTTAGACTGGATCAATCTAATGTAGACCAGGATGGCCTTGAACTCACAGAGTTCTGTTTCTTAAGTGTTGGGAAAGGTGAGTTCCAACACTGCCTGTCTTCTGTGGCTAACTAGTGGCTATCTGTACACACTGATTCTCAGGCAAGCTTTATTGTCATGGAAGAAACAAAATATCGCCACAGTCGATGAATCTATACATCTTTACTCTCAGCAATGAGTTGTCCCATTCAGTGTCTAGGCACTACAGAGAAGTGGGCAGGGTTTTCCTAATTATTTCATATTTCCTGATGCTATCTCCAGTGACAGGGATTTTAAATTACAGCCTCCACACATTCATTTCACTGTGGTCAGCTGTCTGTGTTAAATTTAGACAGAGTTATTGATGAATCTTTTAGGTTAAAATATTTAATTACATTCTCTATGATGAAAATGTCTTTGATGCAAACATATATTTGCTGTGTTTAAAATTCAGTACTTTGAAGTTGCAAGTGAATTATGAGAACAGAAACAAATGTCCAACACCCAGTTTGGGGGAAAATTTCTAAGGCAGCCACAGGTCAAAGGTTTGCCCCAATGGCATCTTTGGAATCATAGAGATAGTCCTTTACCTCCCAGCTAGCTCCATCAGGGAGGTGCTGAGATCACGGTGGAGAGAAAGAAGGGGATACATGTGAAGAGTTAGGTATGTATGTGTAACTCCAGAAAGGTTTGTATTATGAAGAATACTTAGGTAATTATTTTCAAAATATCTAATATTATTTTCCCCAACACAAAAAGGAAGAGGTTAGTACTCGTGTGTTTTCCCTCTTGTTTTCCCATCCAGTCATGCAGATTTTAGCAGTGTTGCTGTGGACTTGTACAGAGGGGGTGTTTTATGTATGGTTCTTTCCATGTTTATTATAACCATGACGCCTGCTAAGTGTTGCTCTGATACCTACTTCCCTGTGCAGTTACTAGTATACAAGCATTGCTTGTCTTTGAGTAAAGTTTCCCTTTTATCTTTTGTTTATTAATGGATTTACTCATGCGTTTGTGTCTACTCAGAAACACCCATTTCTTAAAGGAGTACTCCTTTGTCATCATTATATACTGTGATGCTTAAATTATCCCATAACATGCCCGTGGGAGTACATTCAAGAGGACCTGCTCTTCATTTGTTATCTGTCTAGAATTCTGGATTATCTGACCACCCCTGGGAAGAAAGCCAAAAGCAAATGCTTCTTGTCAGTGATACTTTGTGTCCTCTGCCTATCAATGTCAGGTCTCTTCTATGAGAAGAACAGCAGGACTGCAGAGAGAAGACGCAGAATGTTGACAAGAAGCTGACATGAGCCCTTGTTTCTAGTATGTGAGTCATCATTGCCACCAATGTGAGTGTGTGTGTGTGTGTGTGTGTGTGTGTGTGTGTGTGTGTGTGTGTGATGTGTACATGGCTGTGTATAAAGGGTCTGTGAAATGAACAAAGAAGAGGAAGATGTCACTGCACATCTTTGACTTGACTGGATGCAGACAGACTACTCCATCCTTATATTCAGTACAGTAGAGTGACAAGATCATGTGGGACTCACCAGGTGAGTCATTTCCTTTTCTCTTCCCATCTGTGTGACCAGCAGCTGGTCTGTGATGCCTTATAGGAACACATCCTGTTGAGCAGGTCGCAGCAAAGAGCAGCACACTGTGAAACAATGGCATTCATAGACTCCCCAGATGACTGAACCCTGTAGGGGTCCCTTTAAATGACCAGGACTGAAATGGAAGCAATCCCCATCAGACCATTTCCCCGAATGGGCCATGCATGACTGCATCACATTTGGAGGGATTGCTTATTAAGATGGTAGAAATCTGGATCCACAACAGACACTGAATCATGCTTATTAAAATGGTAGATATCTGGGTCCACAGCAGACACTGATTCAAACCCTGGGAAGTGGGGTGTGGCATAGCCACTTCTTTCTGATGGCTGTCCATGTTAAAACGTATTGCTAGTGTGTTTGATATTCTGTCTTCCAGGATATGAAGTCACAGACTGCTTAAGTCCATACCATGTTCTCTTGTTACTGCCTTAAATACCAGTGTGTTGCATGGCATATCAAATAGACAAATCAATTCCTTCGTGTACGTTTATCCAGATATTCACATAGTGGCCTCTTTAGTGAACACCTTGTTCCTGCACTGTGAAGACTAGCACGGGTCCTTGTATATCGTGTTAGATAGGCAAACTGTCAGTAAGCAGAAGAAATCAGTAATCACAGCAATTCCGTGTATTATTGGCGCTTTAAAGATCATAAAGGGGACAGGAAATAGTTGTGATGGGGATTGTCGTATGTGATGTTACCCCCAAAGGTTTCAGAAGTTAGCATGTGATCTGAGTCCTGAATGGCAAATAGAAGCAAGACCGTGCACAAACCAAGTTGTGGGCGTGCTTGCTTCCATGGAGAACAGTGGATCTAAGAGCAGAGAACAAGGCTAGTTGCCAGAACCTTGAAGACAACGTGGACACTGCTTGGGGATAGGACAGAAAGGAAAATGTTGTCATTGTCAGCTGTGTATGACATTTGGATTATATGATCTGTGTGGAAGGTGAGTTATGGAATTGTCATGATATGTTTCCTTTTGGTACAAGGTGACTTGGCACTGAACAGAGAAAGGCCTGGGGAGGGCGGGATGAGGTAGTGTGTGGAGACAGTGGAGATGGTTCCAAAGACAGGGTAGGGATGGAGGTATGAAAGAGGGATGAAGCCATGCTGCAGTGATCAGCAGGAGAGCTGCCCTGTGCAGCCTTGTCTGGGAGAGGGCAGATAGCACCTGGATGCGCTGTGCATTTTCCTTGTGGAGACATTGCTCTAACATCTCTGGATTTGTCTGACCACATGGAGACACAGTGCTTCCATTTACTGACATCAGTTATTCCACGTGTATTGACACAGGATAGTTTGAATACCCAAACTAGTCATTGTAAAACTTAACAATTTGATAACGAGTTGCTGATGAATAATTTTCAGATGTAAAGTTTTCTAAGTACAGCTAACCGTAGCATAATTTCCAACAGAATAAGAATCTAACATTTGTCTCTTAAAAAGTGAACCCAAAATTCAGTGTATTTTTGAAAATGGCTGTTCTACAGCATGTACTGCTCTTGGCAGGTTTACAGATGAAGGAAGTGAGTAGGTTTTAGGCAAAGTTGAAGTGAAATCAGTCTCTAAATTCTGCAGCAACTGTTTGTCCCTATTTCTCCAGAAGAAGACTGCCTTTAGAAATGCTTATTTTTGACAGCTGGGCATGGAGCAAACATTCACAAGACAGAGACAGTTGGATGTCTGAGTTCAAGGCCAGCCTGTAATTCCAATTGCATATATCAACATTAGTCTGTCACATATGCAGGAACTTGTGACTGGTATTTAAAGCAGGTATTATCACTAAAGACCCCCAAATTAGCACATGAGCAGTGTGATGCTCTCAATGCACAGAGTGGGAAGCACAGCTCAGAGCAGAGGGTCTCACTCTGTTTTCTCCTCACAGAAATTCCCAGCCTGTGTTTGGAAAATGGGTCCAGGACATCCTGGCTCAGGGAACCAAAGTTGCTGGGGCTAGGAAGGTCCCACATCTCTCTGACTCTAGAAAAGTGGTTCAACCTGTGACTTGACCCCTTCAGCAAACGTCTATCTCCAAAACTATTTCCATTGTGATTCTTACCTGTAACAACTTTACAGCGATGATGAAGCAACAGAAATAATTTTCTGGTTGGGATCACCACGCATGAGGGACTGTATTAAGAGTCACGTCACAGCATAGGAAGGCTGAGAACCATTGCTGTACAGACATCCAAATGCAGAATCCGGCTTCTCAGATATCTCTGGGATCCCTTCATCATTGTCCCCACACTCCTAGGGAGGCACAGCCCCACATCAGGACACATACACTCACATCTCCGTGCAAGGGAAATCCTGTTCTTCTTTCTCCGTCATTTCTATTTCCACACACTATGCTATATTTCCAAATTTTCTTTTTTTATGTCTTCAGCACTGAGCTTAAGGATGTGTCTGATTCTTTGACCAACCTTTTTCCTGTTTTGTGATTCTTCTGCAGGGTCTGGGTCATTGGCTGTGCACACACATCCACAGACAGTACAACAACAGCCTCTAGTCCCTTGTTGCTGACCTTTGGGAAGCTGGGCATGTAAGGTAGGTTTGCTGGCAGGAGACTTGCTCTCAGGAACAGGATGTCCTTGCCAGAGGCTGGACTCGAGGATGCTACAGCACTTAGATCTGCCCAGCATCTGACGGCCCGGTCCCAAGCTCTTCACAAATGTGGTGGGAGCACATTTGGGGATTTTTAAAAGTGGTCCCTAGACACTGCTATTGCTCCCCTGGCTGTGCACACATTCCCAGCTATATTCTTGATTTCTCTGGTAGCTGTTCAATGAGAATGCTATACCATGAAAAGAAATCACTGGTGAATTTAAAAAGCCACAGTATGGGGACTGGCGACATAGCTCTCGTGGCAGAATGATTGCCTAGAATGGAAATTGCTCTGTGTTCTTTGACCCTCTGGGCATGTTCACCCTCACCTGTAATACCAGCACTCAAGGCGTAGAGGGAGGAGGAAAGAGACAAGAGAGTCATTACTGTTTATGAGAGTATGGCTCCCAGCCCCCATGGCAGATAGCTCACAACTGCCTTTAACTCTAGCCCCATCAGGAGTCAATGCCTCTGCCAATCATGTGCATACCACAGACAGACAGACAGACATAATTAAAAGTATAACTAAAATCTAAACAAGAAAAAAAAGAAGCATCAACTCCAGGTCATTGACCAAGGGGAAAACACAGTGGAATTTAAAATATGAACATTATAAAGGCTAACGGAATCTAACAGTCTACAGTCTGGCAGGGGAGATGACTCAGTGGTTCAGAGTGCATTCTATTGTTGCTGAGGATCCAAGGTAGTTTCCAGCATCCATTTCCAACATCCTTGAAGGACCATACCTCAGCTCCAGGAAGGTATGACCTCTCCTGACCTTTGGAGGCATAGGAATTCATGTGTACATACACATAGGAATATACACAACGTAATTATTATTAAGTTATGTTCATTTTAAAATTATGTACAAATTAAAATAATTGTTGTGAAACAATGAAGAAAAATGGTCAAATGCCAGGCAGTAATGAGAACAGTTTTCATCAGCGTTAGGTGGCAAATGCGTGCACTTCCAGCTATTTGAACACTGGGGTTACACGATCATTACTGCTAAGAAGTTTCAGAACAGCCTTAATAGCACAGAGAGGCCCTGCCTCAAAATGAAAACCAAACAAAAACCAGAAATATCTCAGAAAATGTGAAATTTCTTAGAAAAACAATCTTAGAGTACATGGTTTTTCAAGAGATGTGGATCATTATAAAATAAATTTTTGCAGGGAAATCAATGATAAAATTACTTATTTCGTGGGAATTCAACAATATACATGTAGAAATGGAATGAAAATGTTACTGGGCCGAGAAGAAAACAGTAGCATTAAGAATGTGTTTACATTAAAATGAATACTTGAGCTGGGGCAGTGTGGTAAGCTGGGAGGACCAGCAGCACTCTGAAGGCTGAGGGAGGAAGGGGAAGAGTCCCAGGCTGGGCTGGGCTGCTCTGAGACTCTGCACTAAACACACAAAATAGTTAGCAGGACTATTATCATTCCATTCACTGTGGGAAAGTTTCAGCTTAGTTCTGTCATGGGAAACCATCCTCTTTTCACTGGATGTTAGGCAGAGCCCTGTGTGTCCCTGGCAGACACATTAAAGATTACCATCCCCTAAATGGGGAAGTGACTTCCTCACCAACACATACAGCAAGGCGCACAGAAAATGGCGGCTGGGACTCTACTCAGATAGCTCACTCTCTGGAGATTTCCCTGCAGACAGCCCTGTGCCTTAGGGGTAGGAATAAGCCCAGCAACAGGCACAGATTTCCTTATGGTAGTACATGTGCTTTCCTGTGGTGTTTGAAATTTCGTATCCAGGAAGGAAAGTACTTTAAAGTGTAAACTGAGAAAAATGCTTGTGCTCGGGTGGTAAAAGTGGGGCTGGGGAGACAGCTAAATCAATAAATTGCTGGCCTTGTGGGCATGAGGCCCTGAGTGTCATTCACAGAGAGCATCATCAAGAAAATGAAGTTAAACTACAGCAGGAAAAGTAGTAGGTGTGGTGGGACATGCTTGTGTGTGAAGGTGGAGGCAAGCCTATCCCTGGAGTGTGCTGCCCAGCCAACCCAGCCTGCCTTGCGTGTTCCAGGCCAGTGAGAAACCTTGTCTAAGAAAAACTTCAGGGGGATGGCGCCTGAGGTACAACACCGGAGGCTGCCTTCTATCCCCTGACCACATGCATGTATGCATACAATTGCAGAAGCACACACATATGCACACGGGCACACAACCACACACTGGATAAACGATGTTTATACCTTCTGTACTTTAGAAGTAGTCATTGTGTTCCGTTTCTGGGCAATGAAGTAGAAGGACAAATGGAATCTACTCTCATGCTCTGTGCATGCCTGTGTGCATATGTGTGTGTGTGTTTGCACACAGAGCTCCACCATCTCTATCTAATGAGGCTGCTTTATGTTAGCCTTAGACTGGGATTGGTCTCCAATCTCGGGTTTACATTTGATATACCTAAGATGTCAAGGTTTATGTACCAGGAAAATATACTGAAGTGAAAAAACACTGCTTTATCTCCAGAGGTAAGGTCCCTTCAAGTCCAGGTCACAGCCAATGTTCCCTCCCACCCAAACATAGACTCCACTGGGCCCAAGACTCTCACTGATGTAGTCCCCATTATGGCCAGGAGGTGGCATTCAAACTACATGCCTACATTTATTTTCTTTAAAGGGGCTGATGTTTTATGGAATAGCAATGCGTTTTCAGTGTGTTTGGAAACTTGATACAATACTAGAGCAGTTCCATTTATGGATTGCAGCAACTGAAGTGCTCCACAACTCACTTCATCCTCCCTGAGTGTAAAGTGGGCAGTGCACACGGGATACAGAGTGGTGCTCTGTAGAGAATATGAATGTGGTGGTCACCTTGAATCCCCTGACACTGGAATGGATGGATTTCCTAGACTTTCCATCTCCTCTCCAGGAGGCTGTGGTACAGTCCCCAGATCGCTGCCTCCCAGGCAAGTTGTATCCTGGTCAGTCACTGCCATTGTGTTGCACCATGCCTGCTGGGGACTTCCAAGAGCAACCTGGTGTTTGTGGTGTGGTTGCCATGTACTTTTCCATGAATATGGTCTGCATATGGTTTAGATGTAATATGTATTCACCCTTACGATTTAGACCAAGCTTGGGGTCCCTTCTCTGTTGCACGAATGTTTCCAAAGTATTTCCTTTACCTCACCCTCATTTTGGAGCCACTAACTAGATACTGAAAGAGAAATTATCCCCTGAGCCCTACAAGAAGAGATAACACAGAAGAAAAGAAGCAGGAACCCCAAGTCCCTTGACAGCCACAGGACATTGACTGAGCTACTGTTCTATTGCTGGGAAGAGGCGCTGTGCTGAAGAGAATTTACAGAACAAAGCATTAAATTGGGAGCTTGCTTTCAGTGTCAGAGGGTTAGTCCAGTACCATCACTGTGGGCAGCATGGCAGCAGGCAGCCTGGCAGGGCACTGTAGCAGAAACTGAGAGTTTACATCCTGATCACAGGCAGGAGGCAGAGGGCTTTTGAGTCATCAGAACTCACACCCAGTGACAAACCTCGTCCAATAGGGCCACACATCCTAATCTTTCTTAAACCATCCACCATTGGGATTGAAACATTCACCAAAAGAGGCGTATGGAGATCATCCTCATTCAAACTACCACCGTCCTATAAGGGATTTCCTCTGCCCCATCAAGCTGCAGAGGGAGAATTGTGGTTGGCTGAGTACTCATAAGTGCATAGACTAGAATCGGTTCCAAGATGTCAGTCATTAATAGAAGAGACTACTGTGTGACATTTGGGGAGAGCAGGAGGCCATTCAAGTTACTTGTCGGAAATAATGTGCTCTTCAGAATACAGTAGTCCCCTTTTGGTTCTCTTCATGGATACTGAAACTGTATACTGAAACTGTAAAGGCCTTGAGCACACAGGAATTATACAAGATTTAGTGAACGTACACACACACACACACACACACACACACACAAACATACATACACACACACACACTTTCTTCAGCCATGTCATCAATTTATTTCTGTGAATTAGTAGTTTATGGTGGGCCAGGCATCATCATTCTAACCCCACATCTACATGTCTCACACAATTCCTTTTTCCCTTCTTTGATCTGCTCAAGTGGATTCCCATGGAAACCATTCAAAGAGACTGCCTTAAACTGTCTGGTCCACAAAGAAAAACAAATGCTGCCCTGGGAAACCAAGGAAAATTTGGCCCATCCTTCCCATAGTGATAGCTATAAGGCCACACCCTGCTCCTGGCTATATCTCCCTTACAGAGGGGAGGGAGGATAAACCTTGTGTGGTGTCTGTCTTGGAAGTTATCCTGGGTGCGGAATAGATTTTTTTCTGATTCTGCTTTCCATGTGATAGTGCAGTTAACATGTCTCCATACTTAACCAAGTATGGATGATCTATAAGAAAGCAATTTGTTTAAGGAGGACATTGAGGTTACACCAAGCACGTGACTTCCCTTTCCCACACTGTGGAACTAGAACCAGAGCTACAGGACACAGAGAGGAAGAGGAACCACGTCTTCAAAGACAAAGACAGGCAGAGGGGTCTAGTCTGAGCATGTAACTCTCCTGATTTCAGGAAATGCTCACCACAGGTTTCTCACATAGCAGTCCCCTCCTCTCAGCTCTCCCCGTGGGTAGTCTGATAGCAAAAAGACACTCTTCTCCATTGCTGGAGAGAATGCAACTGTTCTCCAAGCCTATGGATGGGTCTTATGCTAGTGAAAACCTCAAGCGTGCATTCTGGGGACCTGGGATCTTTCTTCTAAGGATCCATCCCAAAGAACACAGAAGGGGACACAAAGACTGTCAGAGCAACACTGTAGAACTCCAAGAGAACTATGAAAATCGTCTGTGGGAAGGAAAGAGGGACAGCTTGATCTCAGGTGTATCTAGGACTGCTTTCCACTGCTTCCTGACAGTTTACCCATATAACACAATACTCCAAGATCCGTGGTA